ACCAGTAGTCCTGCACAGCGGGAGGGGAGGAGGGGAAAGAAAGGCAGCGGGGCAGCTTTAGCCTGAACCCACACATGCCAGCTTGTACAGATTGTCTGTAAGTTATAAGGATTTTACATCATTTTGCAGGTATACGGACGTATAGAGCAATCTCACAGATTTTTTTCAAGTCTTACAGATATTTTAAAAACCTCATTTTCAAATTTATCCAACATGTCAGAGCCTATAGCATGATTTAAAAAACAAATAACATCAAACAGCCATCTTCCAACCTGTTCTGCTGTTCTGCCGCTAGAAATAAGTTACTTTTTCCTCCCTCCTTTCCTCCTGCTTCGCAGCAGGATTTTTTGCAAAATTTATGGATTTTTAGGGCTCTTTATACAGTTAAACTACTTTCATCCCTGATTTAAACTAGCAATCATGTGAGCAGCTGCAGCTGTATGCTTTCATTTTTTTCTATCAGGCTGTCGGAGCGCTCCTCCTCCTCTGTCCGAGGCTGGTGTGGGGTGAAAATCCTCCACCTCAGACGTTCAGAGATGTAACTATCTGTGATACTGTGGTCACTCTCCATGTAGCATCAATTACGCTAATGCTAGCTGCCTGTCACGTTCTCTCGTCCTGGCCACACCTCCGCTCTCTAACCCCCCTTCCTCTACCCACTTTGTTGCATTTTTCAAATTTCGCCTTGGGGCAGAGTTATCTTTTCACGGGGGGTAAGATACACTTTAAAGGCCCCATTGATGATGGACAGGTCAACAGATCCATCCATTTCCCCCCAGTTTTTCCATTCATGGCGCAGGCAGTCGTGCTCTTTATTGAGGCGAGAAATCCTGACTTAAACCTATGCATGCACAGGGAGAACATGCAAACCCCACTGCACTGCTGTACTCTCTGTTTGTGATCTGTAGGGAGATTAGTGAGGAGGTGGAAGAGAGCCTGGAGAGGTGGCGCCTTGCTCTGTAAAGAAAATGAATAAAAATCCTTAGAACTGAGAGAGATGTATCAATGTAAGAGTAAGAGTTAAACCTAGTATCTCAAAGTGTTCGAGATGTGTTAATTGTTATGTCTACAGTGACTAGCACTGAGTATTTCATGCAGTATAAACAATCTAACTGGTATAATTTAAAAAAAAGTACTTTCCATGCACCAAAAACGGCACATTTTCATTTCTCTGCAAAGAGCAACAGTTCACTCCGATTATTATTTTTTTTCTCTCAGGTGATCTGCTCCTCCTGGTAGGTAGAGGTGGAGATGGAGCCGTAAGGATCCACTACAGTCTGAGCACACCGGACGACCGTGACCAGGAGAAAGAAGCACAGCAGGAAGAGGAAGAAGAGAGCGAAGCCGAGGTCCACGTCCACCTCAAACCGCGGCACAGAGGGCTGGTCCATGTGGGCGACGAGGGCTGCCGATCCTTGAGCAAATATTTATTCTGAGTCACCTCAGCACTTCCACTGCAGGAGGGTGTGCGGTCTCAGGTATGGCTGAGATGATGGGAGCAACTTGGTCAAAGAAAGAAAAACAAAAAGAGATTACAGAGTAGAACATCTGAATATAAAGACAGCTATATATCATGTAATTTAGCCGAGTCTTAAAACTGGCAAAACATTCACAACTCTGAAAGTGATACTCTTCACATAAAACAATAATTTGACATCTTTATGGAACGTGACAAACTAACAAGTTTAGAGAATAAACTTAAATTTGTGAACTTTAACATCACTTGAGATTGACATATTGTAGCATATACCTTTCTGATGGTGTCTTTTCTGGAAAGTCTTGCTGTTTTCAGCAAAACAAACCACACTCTGCGTAATAATAAAAATATATATATAAACTAGAAAAGTGTTTTCAGTAACCTTTTTAAATTGCTTAGTGTTTCATGAAACAAAAACACAATAAAACCGGTATTAAACTACTGAGCACATGAATGTATCCACTTTTAAACGCTGAAACTGGCAGCATCTGCAAACAAAAAACAAGTTAACCTCTTGGTAACATATTTTTTACTAAATAGGATTTGATTTTTATCTTAAAATCATCATTCAAGAGGAAATTATTCTTCAAGAATAACCCAAACCAATTTTTTGCAACAAAAAAAATTCAGCCTTTTAAAAAAAAAATAAAATAAAAATAAGCCTAACAAAAATGTAGGGCATCAAACTACAAATAAAAGTTTACAATATTCTGGTTTATATCTTTTTAAAAACCCTTTAGGTTTGACCAAACATGAAGACAAAAAAAAAAAGGTTTCACGAGATTTTAAAACTAAACCTAGTTTTATTAACTCTGGAAAGCGATTTCTAAAAAAAACACACACACAAAATAAAAACATAACTCACCATTTCCCCAAAACCTTTGAAAAGCTCCAGCAGCACCTCTGCCTCAGGTCCCTGCTGGGTTCCTTATTAAACAGGTCATACAGCAGTCATCTGGTACCAACGACTTTCCTGTCCTCGCTTTGCAATATCATTACAGGAAAAATGATCAGCCCACAAATTAGCTCCGGCTCTCAGCGACACGCATGCAGGATACACAAGCACGCACTTACACCTCGCGACCTCCCCCTGGGGTGTAAAGCCTTTATTAATACTTAAGCAGGAATTGAATAACGGTCTACCTGGTTCACAAGTGGATCAAACACCCCCCAGCTATTGTTCTCCTGTCAGGAGAGCCTCGCTGCCAGAACCGAGCCGACTTCACTCCGCCCTGCTCAGGCACCTGAGGCGACACCCTGGTTGTCCTCGCAGGAGAGGAAGGAGGTGGCGGGAGATGTTGGACAGGGAGGCCAGGATTTAAGAAGCTGTGGCTCACAAGGAGGAGGAGGAGGAGGAGGAGGGGTGGGGGTGGTAAGGAAAATCCAGACATTTGGAGCCAGAGAAACAGGAGACGACTTCAGCGATTAAATTGTGGAGCCAGATGCAGAAGCGGGGTGGAAATTGACCCCGCTGCTTTAAAATGGAGATTGTTACATGGAGGCTGCCAGCGGCGGCAGGAGCAGCGTGGAAGATAAAGTGCAGAGCCGGACGGTAAAGTGATCCTGCTCTGTATGCAATTAGACAAGGAGGGCTCTAAGACAGTGGGCCAAAACCCCAGGAGGGGTGGGGGGTCGAGAGGAAACAAAGAGGGTAGAAGAAATTAAAAGGTTTTAAAAAAGTTATAAAACACTTTTGATATAATAAAATGCAGCAGCCTGTGAGATTATATAGTAGGTGGGTCCACTCGCTTTCCCTCCACCTTCTTTAAGACCTTTAAGTTCAGCCTTGTTTTTTTGTTTTGTTTTGTTTTTTTGCAAAGAAAGGACAGCAAAACAGCTGAACAGATAAATGAATGCCAAAGGGAAGGACGTTGATAAAATCTTAACACTAAGAAAGTGCAGAACGAACAAAAACAAGAATAAACTGGAACAGGAAGGTACACTGGAAAAGCAAAATAATTTAAATTATTTAAGTTTGTTTGCACAGATAATTCAGTAAAACCTCATATTTGGGTTTTTAAAGCACGTCTTTAAAAAGAATAAATAAACCAGAGTGATGAACTGTTTATCTCCTAAATATGATATAATTAATCAACTAAAGAAACTTTTTTTTCTAGAAATGTACAGATGAAGTTAATAACCGTCTTTTTTAAATTACCGCATCATAAATGGCACTAAAAAGTAATTCATGTTTTTTTTCTGTCTGATCAAAGGTTTCCAGTTAAAACACTAAAAATCAAAATGAGAGAAACTATGTAAAATGATTAAAATTAAAATGATTGCTTCCAGAAATCAAAGGAAAAAACCAGGAGAATTACAAGTTAGACAAAAATCTTTATAATCAATGTCATCATTTTACAGCTCAGCAACAAATAACAGAATTAAAACCCTCAGAAAAAAGTTCATCTTCCACAGAGCTGCTTGTGATTGGTCAAAAGGCAGGAAACGGTGGAATTATTGGTACAAAGAGATCTCTTTTTTTTTTTTTTACAATCAGTTGAAATTATGTCAAAAAGGTGTTAGAAAATGTAAACAATATTTTGGCTTTTAAATTTTTACTTAAGATTTCCATTAACTTGTTTTTTTTAAACAACAGTTGCTTAAAAATAATAATAAATTTCTAAATTGAAATTCCAACTTTTTTTAAACTAAAATAATATTTGAATCAAACATGAACTAAAATTAAAGGGATTTTCAGGCTTTCACGCTGATATTTTTAAAGAAGCATAAAGTGCATCTAAACAATAAAACGAAATATGTCCAAACTCTTCTAGCCCATAAAAAAAAAAAAAAAATAACCCACTGATTTACTCCAATTGATCCCAAATTTAAACTGAGGACTGGACTAAAACATAAATAAAACCGTACAACTAAAAAGATATTCAACAAAAAACAAACTTTTAAAACAACCCCGTGCGACTCTGCTTTTTTCGGAAGATGAAAAATTCGAAGACAAAATTTCCACAAAGGCACATTTCGGCACACGTGGCTAACATGTAGCACTTTCTCTCACGCAGTTAAAATATTCATTTTCACCAATTATGTCATTTTTAAACCTCAGCGGAAGTGCAAACGCTCCATTGAAAAAGAACCAAAAGTGCCGTAATTCGCAGCGGAAACACTGGAATCGATTCTTCTACAGAACGAAACTCTGGATTTCCCGTGATGGATCCGTCGCTGCAACACTCCTCACAATGTCTCTGACATCAGTGCAGTTATTAAGAGCAAAAAAATTAATAATAAGTCAAGTTTGTCTTTTAATGTTTAGAGTGTTAATCCAACTGCAACAATTCCAGTTGTAAAACTAACAAAACAGGCAGGTTAACTTGTGGCGAAGCGGCTTCATGACAACAAAAACACTCCACCGGTGAGAGGAAGGAGGAAACAGGAAAAGCCACTCTGCTGCGGAGCTGAACAGCGCATCATGTGGCTCACGTTTAATGTAGTGTAATCCACAAAAATTTAAAAAATCTATGCTGAAAGTAAATGTGAGTTTGTCCTGCCTGCTTCGTGTTCTTTGGCTCTCAGTCCCATCAGTCCATCTTACGGATGTGGTTGTTGTTGAGGAAGCGACTTCTCTGCACATGTCCGTTTTTCCACTTCTCTCTGCGCTCACAAACATCATCTTCCTCCTCCGACTCCGTCTCCTCCTTATCGCTGCGTTCGTCTTCAACAATACCCTGTCACAGAAACACACATTAAAAAAAAAAACAGGATGTGAGGTAACCGTTACATCATCGCTGAATGTGTATTTAAAAATTGTACGTTTTGTACATTTCCTGGCAGGAATTTGACGGCGATGCGCAGGATGAGCACGGCCCAGAAGACGTGCAGAGCCAGCAGTACGAACAGCAGCCCGTTGAAGAAGCAGAGGCCGAAGAAGGGGCGGATGACGGTCAGCGGGTACACGAACGTCGCATGTATGATCCTGGACCGGACAGAAACAAAAGAGCCTACTCAGAACCACCTAAGGTCCTTTTTGTTGTTTGTTTCCTGTTATTCACAACAAAAAGTCTGGAAATGTGCAAAATAAAAACGTGTAGCTGCAGAACTTTAGTTGGTCTAATGGTTTTTTTTTTGTGCTACATTGATGAGCTGAACATCCACGTTGTATCCAGAAATGCGTCCCTCTCGTTCTGAATAAATTAGCCGGTTGTGAAAAGCTGCTATTGTGATCGAGAATGAAGCTCTTCTGCCCACTTGTTTTACTCTGCAACTTGGACAATCAGGACATTTTTTCTACATTTGCTTCATTGTCAACAAATACCGTGAAATTATCCGAACTATGTGCACGTCTCCTCAGAGCTTCTGGACTTTCTGTCAGCAGCTAATTTTGTGAAATCTGAGTCCGCATTCATATACAGCGGGTAAAATAAGTATTGAACACGTCACCATTTTTCTCAGTAAATATATTACTAGAGGTGCTAATGACATGAAATTTTCACCAGATGTCGGTAACAACCCAAGTGATCCATACATACAAAGAAATCAAACCATAAATGTCCAGAAATGAAGTTATTTGTAATAATGTGGAATGGCACAGGGAAAAAGTATTGAACACATGAAGAAAGGGAGGTGTAAAAAGCCATGGAAAGCCAAGACACCAGCTGAACTCTCTCAGTAATRAGAAAGCAAGCCTGCCCCTTMTCAGRGCAAGTTAATATCAGCTGGTTCAGTCCCAAATGATGGCCAGGTATCACACAAGAACCATCTGATGATGGGTAAAAGTAAAGAGCTCTCTCAAGACCTTCACAACCTTATTGTTCCAAAGCAACACTTGTTCAATACTTTTTCCCTGTGACATTCCACATTATTACAAATGACTTCATTTCTAGACATTTATGGTTTCATGGAAATTTCATGTCATTAGCACCTTTAGTAATATATGTACTGAGAAAAATGGTGACATGTTCAATACTTATTTTACCCGCTGTAAATGTTTACATTTCGAGGTTTTTCTCTCCAGTCTTTCTAGTATTTCTGTAAACATTGTGCCATTTTACCTTTTTTTAAATAGCAAAACTTTCTCCAAAGAATTTTTTGAGATCCCTTCAGTTAAAAATCTGCTTCGATGTACGTACTCGATTTTTGTGTTTTTATGCTAAGAAGACCCATCCAGAGGACCTACTCAACCTTTTTAATGTTCTTATGCTACATTTAGCTTTTAGCTACTGTTAAGATAAGTTTTTTGCTACTCTTATGCCTAATTTATCTTTTTGTTACTGTTCTGCTAATTTGAGTTTTGCGGTGATTTAGCAATATTTTGATATTAACTTCTGCTGTTTTGCTGACAATTTAAATTTGTATCTATGGTTTTGTTTGTTTTAGCTTTTCAGTTGTGCTCATTTTAGCTCACATTTACTTCATTTTAGCTTGGGTTCGCTCAATTTTGCCTTTGTTTTACAAATTTTTGCTTGAGTTTTGCTTATTTTAGCTTCAATTGTGCTTATTTAGCTTTTGTCCACCTCGTTTTAACTTGGGTTCTGCTCATCTTTGCTTGGATTCCCCTCATTTTGCCTTTGTTCTGCTTATTTTAGCTATTATTTTTTGCTAATTTTAGCTTGGGTTCTGCATTTTAGCTTACATGTTGCCAATTTTAGCTTGGGTTCTGCTTGTTTTAAGTTCAAAAACTAAATTTTAACTTCCACAAGACCTTCAACTTTTTTAAAGATGATAATGTAAACAAAAAAAAAACAAGGCTGTGACAAATTTGCTGCAATAAAATTCAACCGTGCTTTTGGCCAAGACTACTAGAGTAGATTTTTTTAAAGCTTAAGCTTATTTCTTCCATGTTCTTAGATTATCAGTGATCTGGTGAGTTCGATGCAACAATGGATTTTTTACCAGAAAGGGAAAACGATTAGGCGACTGATGATGAAAACTGCAGCAAACGAAGCGAAGATGAAGTTGCAGGTTCTCTTCCAGCCTGCATAGTTGAACATTTTGGCTAACTGGAATTAAAAACACATAAAAAAAAGTATTTAATGGAGACAAATCGATCTGTCACACTCTTATATTAAAGTCAGTGATACAGTAAAAACTCCTGCAGAAGAAAAAAAAACATTTCCACCTCTCATACCTCCATCAGATAGTCCGAGGCGTCGTGCACCAACATGATCAGAGTCCCGGTCCGGGTGTAGTTGACCATCCAGGAGAAACTGATGAGGAGGATGGTGGCCACATGGTGAATGATTTGCTCCTTGAAATCCTTCGCAGACAGAAACAGGTGACGTGAAAAAAAAAATCTAAATTTACCGGCATTTAGGCATTATTGATCCATCCACACAGAGGAGTCACTGATCAACTGCGCCTGAGCCCGGTTCAACAAATGATTTACTCTTCTGATCAAAGCAGATTATGCAGCTTCAAGCCTCGGTGTTTGCCAAAAATGTTCAAGCTCAAACAACATTTAGACAGAACATTTCAATCAGCAGGCAGCAGCGATCGATACATCAGGTCAAAATTTAACAGGAATCAATACAGAAACCTCAAACTACACCAGAGCAAAAAAAATCCTTTTTTTTTTTTTTAAAAGGCGCTTAGTGGGCAGTTTGAGGTTTTATTTTTTTTTTAATAAAAGAAAACAAATAAAAACAACAGCATTCAGAGGAAATGTGGTTTCACTTACCTTCCGTTTGACATCTGATGCCACGCTACAAACAAGTGAGAAATAGAAGCCTAACTCGATCATGTAGTACCAGTACTGTGACGGCAACAGTGGCTGGAAAAAAAAAAAAACATCCACTGTTTAATTCAGTACTGCAATGAAAACAGGAGCCGGCTATTAGAAAAAATAAATGTTAAATATTATAAAAAGTTACCATTTTCGGGAAGTCTTTCCACATGTTCTTCGTGTCATGAAACCATGGTTTCTAAGAAAAGATAAATTGTGTTATGAGTCAAAACACACCGGAGTCCAAGCAGGCCATAAAACATGAAAAACCGGTTTTATATGGAGAGGAAACACCGCATACAAAATGTTAATCTCTAAAATCTCCTGTACTTTTGCTAAGCGGATAGTTCACATACATAAAAGCTGCATTTTGCAGGGGTTTCTGGTGGGATATTTGACCACTTTTTAAAATATTAGAACAAATTATTGAATTTTTTTAAGTATTTTTACTGCAAAAATCTACTATTAGGCTCCAAATTATGACCAGTTTTTGAACCGGTAGCTACTTCTTAAACAGTACTATAACGAAGCCTCGCAAAGTTGCATTCTAGTTAGATTTTTGCTGTTTTTTTTCTTGGAACCTAACCACTAGTAGTTTACGATAATACTGTGATATTTTCAAAATCAGAAATACAGCAAGGAAAGTAAAAAGTTTTTTCTCCCTCATGCGTTTCAGTGAGTTTAAGCTAAATTACTAACAGCATAATTCACTTATTTTTTAACATTAATAACGTAAATACTGTAGGCTTTTTCTGAACAGCATCAAATATTCACATTTTTTTCACAATTCGCAAGTACTTTAAGAACGTAACCCCCGCAAAAATCCACGCTTCACTGTACTCAGGTAGTAGAACACAACATTTTTGTAAAGGTAGCAAAAAAAACCCTGAGTATGATGCTACTGCCACCGTGCTTTACATTAGGTGCAGTAGTTTGGGATCTTAATGTCTCACTTTTGCAGTAGTTGAAGCCCTCAAGCTTTTACAAAGACACTAACAGCTGCAGTACATCATAATCGCTAATAAAAAGTAATCTTGACAAATTAAAGCAAATATTTCCCTGAGATTCATGTAACTATGTGACTTTAGACCATCAGTCAAACATGCAGTTAGATATTTTTCTTGTTTCTTTGAATACTTCACTTTTTGCACAACATGTCTTACAATGAAGCATCTTCTCATCTGTAGTACTCACATCAATAAGGACTGCCAGGCCAGCAAAGAAAGCAAGAAAGTAAAATATGAACCTCCAGCTGTAAGAAACACACAATCATCTCAGAATAAAAAAACAAAACATAAAACTGGGAATTCATCCCACCTCAATAAAAATTGTTTAAATTATTTTGCAACACTTTTGGGTTTAAGGAAAATACGAATGGACATAATAAAATAAAACAAAAAAATTCAAATTCTTCTGTTTTCATAGCGTTTGTTAATGTCTGTGCCTCTGAGATCCTTATGATGCTTTAAGGTTTTACTACTTTTGAACCAGTTTGGTCAAAAATAAAAAGGTAATAAAACAAGAACTAATGGGTTCAATCTTTTGTGAGTTTCACGTTCAGCAGCAGACGTTGTTTTGCAGCAGCCTTCGAGGAAACCTCACTCTGACTTTGTGGGTGTGGCGGAGCTGAAAGTTAATATGAGGTTATTAGGAAATCATCATGACTGCAAAACAAAACCATTAAACACGCAGCTCAATATATCAAAGAAGTTTTCACGAGTACAGAGCTGCAGATTATCATGAACCCGTGTGAAATGTGCTCTAAATATTCATCGAGGATCACTCTCAGCTACTACCACACTGAATTTTGGCTCAATATATGTAAAACTGGCAGAGCTACAGCTTGAATGGGATTGACTTCAACAGTTAAAGTTGTAGATGTACATCCATTGAATACTGTCTAAGAGTTCTGAGGTTTTTTTTAATCAAGACTGCAGACAAACAATAACATGAACACAACGTGCACACAAACTCAAAAAACATCAGAGCTCCGCCTCCAGGCAATAATTGATCGGACGTCTGGCTAAGGATTAAACCTACCTCGCTTCCTGGAACTTTTTGAGCTTGCTGGGCCGGTCCTGGTTCCTCCTCTGTCTGAACCACCTCTGGACCTGTCGCACTGAACAACCCGTCCGTCTACTTAAATTCTCCGTGGCGCTCTAACAACAACACAAGGGCGAGACAATGAGAGGGAAAAAAAAGGGCAGAGCTGCAATTAAAAGGTTGTTGTCCTGAAGCCTCGCCAACTGGAGAAACAGTGTGGTTGTTCTTGACGTGTAAATTTCTGCTCCACATTTCAGTTAAAAACGTAAAGATGTTTGTTTCCGTAAGCATACCTGTGCGGGATGCTTTGATTTGTTGCAGAAATGGGACTCCAGGATGGGGTTTGGAGGAGCCTGAGCGAGATGTTTGTCTTTCACTCTCAGCATTGAGGCCAAAGGAAGCCCTACTGTTCTACAACGTGGACAAACGTGTTCGTAATTATTAGAAAGAAATACGCAAATAAAATCACAAAAACATAGACAGAAGCACACCGCTGATTGACTCACTGCTCAAATATTTTTCTTAAGACTAAGAAGCAGAGAGCGATGGGTACAGTGGCCCAAAGGTCCCGGACTTTAGGGTAGACGTTGCCGTCGGCATCTTTTAAGTCATCCCAGCCGTAGCCTTCAGGGAACCAAATCCAGTCGGCCCATATCAGCTCACTCAACCGAGATAACATCCTACAGACAAAACAGGAAGAAGCAAATTAAACAGAGCCGTGTCCATATCATAAGAACTCTCATCAAACCTCTTCACAAAACCACCTTCTTCAAGTTCTTCTTTCTTCAACGTCTTTCAGCTAATGTCAGACTCTATCGGCTTCTATTTGACTGATTTCAGCTATCATTCTGACCTTTCAGTTTTCTGTGTTTTTAGATCATTTCAGCTATTTTTTTTCCTGCTAAATTTACCTTTTGGTGATAATTTCAGCCGGGTCACCAACATCCTTAAAGGGGCAATATCATGTAAAATCAACTTTTTTGAGTTTTATATCATGTTATAATGTTATACTCTCATAAAAAAACATGCCCAAAGCCT